TTGAACAAGGTGACAATCAAGAACAAGTATCCTCTTCCTCGGATTGATGATCTGTTGGATCAGCTCAGGGGTGCTTGTGTGTATTCCAAGATTGATCTCCGGTCCGGATACCATCAGATTCGGGTGAAGCCGGAGGATGTCCCGAAGACCGCGTTTCGTTCGGGATACGGTCATTTTGAGTATTTGGTGATTCCGTTTGGACTCACAAATGCGCCGGCAGTGTTCATGGATTACATGAACAGGATTTTCCAGCCGTATCTGGATCAGTTTGTGATTGTCTTCATTGATGATATTCTGATCTACTCCAAGACTGAGGAGGAGCATGTGGAGCATCTGAGGATAGTTCTGCAAGTGCTGAAGGAGAAAAAGCTTTATGTTAAACCTTCCAAGTGTGAGTTTTGGCTCAAATCAGTCAAGTTTCTGGGGCATGTGATTTCAGCAGATGGAGTTGCAGTGGATCCCAACAAGATTGAGGCCGTGTTGGATTCGGAGAGACCCAAGACAGCTACGGAGTGAGGAGCTTCTTAGGTTTGGCAGGTTGAGATTGAGTACCACCTATCACCGTCAGACTGATGGACAGACTGAGCGGACTATCCAGACCTTGGAGGACATGTTGCGGGCTTGCACGTTGGAGCAGGGCTCGGCATGGGATAGGTACCTTCCTTTGGTGGAGTTTTCGTATAACAACAGTTTCCATGCTAGCTTGGGCATGGCACCCTACGAGGCGCTCTTCGGTAGGAGGTGTCGTACACCTACCTGCTAGTCGGAGGTTGGGGATCGTGAGTTGTTTGGCTTGGATTTTGTCCAAGATACCACCCTGCAGATCCAGATGATCAGGGAAAAGCTGAAGCAGTCGCACAATCGTCAGAAGAGCTACTACGATGTCAAGCATCGACCACTGGAGTTCAGTGAGGGTGAGCACGTGTTTGTGAGACTTTCACCTGTCACCGGTGTTGGACGGGCACTCGGAGTGAGGAAGCTGAGCCCGCGTTTTATTGGGCCATACCAGATTCTTGGTAGAGTAGGACCTGTTGCCTACCGGCTTGCCTTGCCTCCGAACCTGGCCAACATCCACGACGTGTTTCACGTGTCTCAGCTTCGGAGGTACATAGCGGACCCTTCGCACGTGATGCAACCGGATGATGTGGAAGTTCGGGAGAACTTAAAGACTCCCGTAGGACCACTAAAGATTCTCGATCGTGGCGAGAAGCAGCTGAGGAGCAAGATCATTCCGATGGTCAAGGTGCAGTGGACCGGAAGGACTCCTGAGGAGTGTACTTGGGAGCGAGAGGACGAGCTTCTCCGGCAGTACCCGAGTTTCGACCAGGTATGTTTCTGATTTTGAGGTCAAAATCCTAAAAAGGTGGGGTGAATGTAAGAACCCGCACCGTTAATTAAGGTATTTAATTAATAAATTACGAGAAAATAGGAAATGATTCCATAATTGACTCTAATAATTATTTATGAGGCTTAATAATCATAATAAGTGATTAAGAATGCTGAAAGTCGCTTTTCGGAAGAAAAGTGCAGATACCAGTTCTGCTAGTCGGTATAAATGCGTGCCAAAAAAGTATCCCGGAAAATTAATGTAAGTGCATGATAATTACTAGAATCATATGTAGGACTTGTAAAACGAGTTTCAAGTTCAGATAATGAGAACTGGTGCTGGAAACCGGTACTGGCTTGGAAAAGCGCGTACCGGAAAAGTGCTCAGAAAATTATAAGAAAAATATGATAAATCTTAGAAAATTATGTAGTTTCATAATCCAAAGTTTGGGATTAAAATGCTAAGCGTAACAATTAAAGTTAATACTGTGTGTTTTATGGCTAAGTGGCTATATATATGCATTTTAGCACATAACCCTAGGCATATCAGAATTTCCTACGTGAGGCACTTGGTGGGCTGAGGGTGGTTTACTGTTCCATTTCCTCCTTTCACCATTTTTGAACTCAAGTTGTCACCTTTACTTGATTTCTTCCCTCTTTGAGCTTGTATACACTTAAAAACATGCATGGTGGGGCTTAGCCCCTCTTTATTTACAAAAAAAAAAAAAAAACATGCATGGTGAGGAAGTGTGAGGGTGTATTCTGAGTTTCCATCCTCTGTGTGTGGGTAAGAGTGCTGGTTTTGGGTGGTGTGGTTGCTGAAAGCCATAGTTATGGCATTTTGGAGGTCCAAGTGGTGACCTTTGGTGAGAAAAACCAACCCTTGTGAAGCCATTTTCGTGCATCTTTCTTGAGTCAGACTTGAGGGGCTGTGTTGAGCTCCAAGAGCATCTACTTCTCTGTTTTAAGCCTTTGGTATGTATACCAACCTTTGATCTTGAGTTTAATGCTTAAAAATGAAAGCTTAATGCATGTTAAGGTCAAAAGATGATAACTTGTTGTGGGGTAATGTTGAACACACCTAGAAATGCATGTTTAGGTGTTTAAAATCGGTAAAAACCCAACCTTGGAAGGATATCTTCACGAAAATGCAGAAACTGCATTCTGTCGTGAAATATCCGGATATCGGCCCGTGGAATATCCGGATATGGGATATCCGGATATGATATCCGGATATGTGTATTCGGATATGGGGTTTTGGGATATCTGGATACTAGATATCCGGATATGGGATTCTGGATATCCGGATATTGCATATCCGGATATGGTCCCGAGGAATATCCGGATATTCTGGGATTTCGTAGAACAGTAGCTGTGCTGTGTGTACAGTAGGCTATTGGGGGGTTGTGGACCCTAGATTGATGAAGTTGAACTTCTGTATTTAATGGACTAAGCCAGAATCATGGGATTAAGGGCTTGTGGCTTTGTTAGAAGCTTTAAGACTTGAAAACGTAATGAAAAGGCGTTGTCTTAATATTGTATGCTTGTGGTGCATGTTGTTGATGTATTGTTGGTCCATAACAGATTGTGAATCTGCTGTGTTTGGACTTTGAGCTGTGGACTCTTGGCTTTTGGAGTTAGCTTGCAAGGTAAGCTTTCGTGTCCTCGGTTTAGCCATGTTGTGGTTCCACCATGTCCCATGGGGGTATGGTTTATGCATGTTGTGTACATGCTTTTGGATATTTGATATGTTGATTGAACTTTACATGTAATGGCTTTTAATATGCATGTGTTGTTTCATCTTGACGGGAATCCTGAGTATGTAGCGTCATACAAGACGGTGTACCAGGGTGAATGCAAGTGGTACTTGTACGGTGTGTAGGTGATAGACGTATACCTGCACTATCTCTGGCCAGTAGATTAGTATTGACACACATGACATGATTATCTGCTGCATTGCATTGTTTTAGAAATGATAAATGATAAACTGTTTTTGAACTTATATTGCACATGTAAGTGAGTTTGGGGTGGAAGATCCTTGAGGACTCACTGACTTACTGAGATTTCTAGATTAGAGATCTTACCCCACGTTTGGGGAATGCTTATTTCAGGATCAGGTAGTATGGGTACTGATGCCTCAGGCGGCAGGAGGCCGGAGCTTAGCTGATTATGTTGTTTCTGCTTATATGTTAGCATGACTGGATTTGGATGTTGTTTATGTTTTCCGCTATTTATGATATGTTGTTGTTGAGACTGATGTTGGGCATGTTGCCTTATTTGAGTGAGCATGGGGATTGTCCATGACACTTTCTGTTAGTACTTTTAGTTTGGAGTTGTATAAACTGTTAGATGGTTCGGTCTACGTTGTTGTAGTTCCGTGACTAGAGCCACACTTTTATTATCTATGTTATGAGGTATTTCAGTTAGCTGTTTTATTGCAATTACATACAGGCGATGTTTTATTAATTGATTATTAAGTAAGTTGGTAATGTTAATGGCATCATAATTGAAAAGAAAAAGTAGTTCCGCATTTTTAATTAAGCGCAGCTTAATACGATATTATGATAACATTACCGGATATATACGGGGTGTTACAGAGAGCGTTCAGCATATCCAACAAAATAGCAGCTGATTGTTCTTGAGTCCAACTTTCTTTCATTTGGCCTATAAGGCCTTGCTTCTGCTGGACAACCGCAAATGTGTAAATGCCTTATGCTAGGTTTCTTTCCATTCCATAGCTCATAAGGGGTTTTTGTCACTGCTTTGCTGGGAACCCTGTTAAGGATATAAAATGCAGTCTTTAGTGCTTCTCCCCAAAGTGATTCCTGCAATGAAGAATGACTAAGCATACTCCTCACAATGTCTTTAAGAGTCTGGTTTCGCCTTTCCGCAACACCATTCATGCTAGGTTTACCTGGCATTGTGTATTGCGGGACGATTCCACACTCCTTTAGGAAGATCGCAAAGGGCCCTGGACGTTGTTCACCTGATCCATTAGATCTACCATAGTATTCACCACCACGATCAGATCTAATGACCTTAATTTTCTTGCGTAACTGAAGTTCAACTTCAGCTTTAAATTCTTTGAACACATCCAATGATTGTGACTTCTCTCTAATCAAATATAGGTATCCAAATCTTGAATAGTCGTCTATGAATGTGATAAAGTATTGTTGACCATTCCAAGAGTAGGAAATGGTCCACAAATATCCGTATGAATCAATTCTAAGACGTCTGAAGCTCTGTTGGAACCTATTTTCCTTATGTTTGTCTGTTTCCCCTTTATGCATTCAATGCACACCTCAAAATCATCCAGATCAAGGGGTTCAAGAATTCTATCAGTCACAAGCCTCTGAATTCTCTGTTTAGAGATATGACCTAAACGCTTGTGCCACAAAATGGCAGAATTCTCTTTTAACTTTCGCTTTGTACCATTTGCACTCGAGTGCAATATTTCATTATCAGTAGAAACAGTATCAAGCATGTAAAGATTATCAATCAAAGAACTAGTACCAACAATATTTGAATTAAGCGAAAGACAAAATTTTTTATTTCCAAATGAACAAGAATAACCAGATTTGTCCAAACTAGAAATAGAAATTAAATTTCGTCTAAATGACGGTGCAACAAATGTCTCAATCAAATCCAAATAAACACCAGTTTTTAACAATAATCTAAAATTCCCAATAGCTTGAACTGCAACCTTTTGCCATCGCCCACAAAGATGTATCTCTCAACATCACTTGGCGGTCGGCTCCAAAGAGAACCCTGCATAGACATACTAATGTGAGTAGTAGCACCAGAATCTACCCACCAAGTATCAATAGGTACAGTAGCTAAATTAATTTCAGAACAAACTAAAGTGAGAGTCATACCCATCTTTTCGCGCCATGCCTTGTATTTGGAACACTCTTTCTTCATGTGTCCAGATTTCTTACAAAAGAAGCAGGTGAATTCCTGATCCTGCTTCTTTTGCTTCTTTGGCAAAGCATCTGCATTATCCTTAGCTCTCTTTCTCTTCTTGTCTTGAGAGGTTGCTGCCAAGTAGCACTATCAGTCTTCTCTCGCTGTAACCTCTCTTCCTCTTGCACGCAGTGAGAAATGAGCTCATTAAGAGTCCATTTTTCCTTTTGAGTGTTATAACTCACCACAAATTGACCGTATTGTGCAGGAAGAGAGATAATAACTAAGTACATGAGCAACTCAGAGGGCAGCTCTAACTTTAATGCCTTTAGTTTTCTAGCAAGATTAGACATTTCCATAATGTACTCCCTTATGTTTCCCTTTCCTTTATACCTCATGTTTATGAGTTTGGACAAGGTTTGACCAATTTCAGCCTTTTCATTTCGAGCAAAGTATTGCTCGAGTTCCTTAAGAAACAACTTGGCATTAGTAGTCTCAACAATCGAGCCCCTAAACGCCTCCGGAACGGAACATTTCATGATCATCAAACACATTCGATTTGAGCGTTCCCACTTCTCAATTTTATCCGTGTTTGGATTTTCCTGAGTGGAAGTGGGTTTCTCAGTCCTTAGCGCATTGTCGAGATCCATGCAGCCGAGAACAATTTCCACATCTTGAAATTTTCCCCATTAAGCATTGGAAGCGAATTCACTTGAGCAACATAATTGGCAGCGGTAGCAGAAACTGTCTCCAGAGAACAAAATAAGATTACATACTAATAACATGTCATATCATATATATATATTCAAACACCATCATAAATAAATTACATACTTGATATTGACAAATAATCCAAAGTAAAATGAGTTTATTATAAGATACCTAGCACAACATTAATATTTAGTCTGTGGACAAAAATATCAACTTGTAAGTGGTACTCTTAATGTAGTAATCAAACATTGACAATAAGTCTTGTCAAATCATAGCCTTCCTGTGGGCCGACTATGAATTACATGGAGAATTCTTGATAATTGTCACATATTTATTACCACAGGTATGTTTGTTACTTGGCCAAATAATAACCTTCCTGTGGGCCGATCACTATCCGCATAAGCAATAAACACACACATGATCACACAACATATGTTATTTGGCCAAACAATAACCTTCCTGTGGGCTGAATATTATTTGCATAAATAAAATATATTTATATGACCAACCTATTTGAAATCAAATTAACCTTTATAAATTTGGCCACTGTGGCGGCTAACAAATCTATCATATTTAATTTCAAATAGAAACCTTTAGGGATAATAAACCCATTTAAAAATAAAATAACAACAATAAAGAAAATTATTCTTTATCAATCCTTAATGTATATACATACATACTATATCATTATACCATTAACAATAAATATCTTTTCATTATAAGGCTTAAAAAATGATGCACAAACAACGCACATGTAAGCCTTTTCAAATGAAAGCTTGAAAATGATGTATAATACCCAAAAAAAAAGACCTTAAACACTTGATTTCTTTCAAACCGTAAGTCCAAACTTTTCTAAGAGAATTCAATTTTTATTCAAAAAATTCAAACAACAAAACCTCATCGATTATAAAGCCAAAATTCTTTCAAACATTCCATCTATTCACAGATTCAAAATTTAAATAATAAACCCTTATTAAACTGTGAATCCTAGTTTTTTCTAAAAAATGTAGCTTTTGTTCCAAAACCAAAAAATCACCGTCAGGGAACAAAAATAACACTACATAGCTAATACAAAATACATAAGATGGAACCCACGTTCAAAAAATAATAAACTTTATGCCAAAAGACAATAAAGCAAAACTTTTCATGATTAATCATATATAAAAATCACAAAACTTAATTTCCTCATATTTCAATATGACGATGGCTCTGATACCAATTGTTGGAATTTTTAAATTCCTCTAAACCTTTTGGTGATAACTATCACCTACAAGCCAAGCTCCATCATACCAAATCATAAAGAAATAAGAGCATAATGGTGGAGGCATACCTGTCTCCATTGCAGTGCAATAACTTTGATCTTGTCTCTTGGGGTTTGTAGTCTTCCTCAGTCAAATCACCCTAAAACTGAATTCCTTAGTGTGCCGCCTCTCTCTTGATGGGGAAGAGAAACTAGGGTTGTTTTTTTTTTACGTATTATGGACCATAACCCTTTATATTGTTTTTATCTTTATTGTTGGGCCAATAAGCTCCCATTATACCTAGTTGGCCCAACACCGGTATCCACTCATTCAGCCCATACTCACTTAGGAATCTATTTGGGAATATTTAACTGATCACTTTAATTTACCCAATATATATAAATATCGCAATATAATTATTAATATAATATGTGACCCACAATAATTATTAGAAAATATAATTTCCTAACAAAGAAAACATTGTAATTTACCATGATTCACTCTCAAACCACTAGAGAGCTACATTCAGACTCAGGTCGATATTCCACTATATTCAGAGCTTCCAATCAGTGCCTGAAAAGTCGATTTACAACTAGAATTTTACAAGATCTAAGGCCAACCCTGATCACACTAAAACTAAACACCTTTAGGATCATTCCAATTGTGTCAAATGAAATTACAGCAATCCAATCAATCAATATAGAGTAGAGTAACCTCTCTACGTTCATAATTACAAAAAAAATTAGAAGAAAAGATAAAGAGAAGAGAATTATTGAGTCTTGTCTTAAGGATATGCAAAATTAGCCTAAATGAGGGTTTTAATCTTAAATTTCCGTAATCTCACATTTTTCTATGTTATTTTCTAATTACAAACCTTTTTACATGTTTATAGAGGTGTCCAATCGAGTTACTAGCGGTTTATAACGTTGAACATCAATTTTGGGCATTAACTTCGTGTTTGAGAAAACTTAAGAAAAAGTAATCGATTACTCCACGAAAAGTAATCGAATACTTTTTCATTGTCTAAGTAATCAATTACTCCATGCTGTAATCGATTACTACAGTACAACTGATCCATTTTTTTTCACTTTTTTCGATTCCTATTACTTTTAAATGATTCCTACTGCCTTCTATCATATGTGTGGATATTTCTAACATCAATTTAACAACACTCCATGTGTGTGTTATAATAAACGAGATAAATTAAATTACATTAATTAGAGATTAATATATAATTAAAGGATTAATCGTATGAAAAGCATAATTTTAGATTAAATTACTCTTTGGGACAAAAGTGTAAATAATAAAAAATGTTCGGTTAAAATGCAAATTACGCAAAAAAAGTAAGATCCTAAAACAAATCAAGTATGACACACGCTTTAACCTAAATAGCCATAGCATAATTAGAAGGTTTAAATGAGTGGTTGTCAGAGTAGGGAATATGAAAGGCAAATTTGTGATTTCCCTTTAAGATATTTTTCCTAAGACCATAGTCTCTCTTTCTCTTCCATTTTTTTGGTCTCTCTTTCCCTTTCCTAGTCTCTTTGCTTTTCTCCATTGATGAAGAACAAAGAGGTTTCCCTTCACTTTACCTTGAAGCTTGTCACCCATTCCTTGCATCCTCACCACTTCAGCATCATCTCCTCACTAAGAAAACAAAGAGAGGAAACCTATTTCCCTTTCACTTCGAAACCCATTTTTATGTACCCTTTTGAGTGGAAGAAAGGAAGGAGTTTTTTTTTCATCATTGGAGCTTGAGAGTGTTGATTTTTCAAGCCTTTGGTTGATTTGAGGTGAGCTTTGATGATTTTGTTAGGTTTTCATAGATTTTGACATTGAGGGTTGGGGTTTCATGGGGGATTTTAGGGGATTTCGAATTTTATGCATAGATATGGTGAGATTGATACTTTGATCTTTGTTATGTGTAGACGTGTTGTCAGAGGTGGTGATATTGAAGTGGAACCACCATCGAAACCCATTGACGACTAGGGTTGTGTTCTTGAGTTTGAAGAACAAAAGGATAAGCTCCTAAACCATGGCCTTAAGATACTGAATTTGATAATTTGATGATTTTGTTGTTCTGTATGTGTTGTTGATGGATGTCCACCTTGTGAATAGGTTAGATTATAGTGATTGTGATATTGGATTGTTTGAGTCAAGAGGAGTTAGAGGATAACACCTTGAAAAGTAAACTCTTGGACCCTGGGGTTAATTCCTTTTGTTCTTCCACCATGCTCCATGAGGAGTAATATTTTTTATGGATTGATATGCATTATTGCTTGTTAAATTAAGTACAAATTATTGGGTCACACTTATTAATTAATTATTAATTTTCAATAAACTATAACCGCTAGATTAATGGAATCAACGGTTAAGATTTAGTGTCAAACTTTTTAGTTTGTCACCGATGTCAAATATGATCTTATCCATATATATATATATATATATATATATATATATAAGATTTTTCAAGTCTACAACGCAATGTGCTTGTAGAAATAATAGAACGACTTTAGAATAAACATTTAAAGTATATAATAATAATATATTATTTAATTTTTTTCCTCACACAATAAAGTGTAACGCTCACCACCAAAAATCAATAAACTTACTAAATTAAATTGGATAAGTGGACTTAGAGACTTTCTCTTTACCTTTATTTGAAAATATATAATTACAATTTGAGTGAGTTGCATTGAACAAATAATGAGAATTATAACAAGGAAGACTTGACACCATATAATTTAAACCAACTATAAGATTGATGAACTTCTCAAATCATGATCTGCACCAAATTAATTTATAAATAGAGATCAAAAACTAATATTTCATCCAAATAATAAGTAAATGAAATCAAAATACATATGTGAGAAATAAACTTCCAATTTCAATTTCAATTTATATAAGCATATTAGAAATCAACACTTCACTAAAATAATATACACAATTGAATGTTGGAAATTATGGATTTTATCAACGTTGTTATGTCTCGTTGTATTTTCTAAATACTCTTGCACTTTTGATTTGTATTTTTTTATGGGAATTCATGAAAGATGCTAATAGATTTCATCTATATATTATTTTGGTTCTATATTAATTTTTCCTACTCATATAAAGTGATTTACGATATGAGGATTTATATATTTATCGTCAAATTAAATATTAATTTTATATGTTGTCACATCCTATTATTTACTCATTGAGTTGCATTGCAACTCACTGCATCCTTAATATATGTTTCTGCAGATATAGTTACATAGTTAACTTCTCGTTTCACTCCTCCGATTTTGTGGAAGTCTATTGGGTTACCCGTGGTGAGCTCGACACATTATTTCGTGTGGATAAGAAATATTTAATTTTATTTTTCTAAAAGACTTATAGCTTTATATTCTAGAGTTGCTATATTATTTCTATAAATATGCTAATAGTAAATTTGATAAATTCAAGTGTATTAAGATAGAATTTAGGCTCGTCAGGCTAACCGATAGTAACATTAAATTTAGCGTATGCACTGATTATGGACCTAGATTTGGGTCGTGATATTTAACATCATTTGATCTAAATAATCCATTAAATGGTGATTTTCATTCATAAACTAAGTATTTTGATACTAACTATTGTGTTCAAGATTTCATGAATTGTGGATTTATCAAATGATATTTCCTTTATTCATGGTAAGGTGAATTTCTTATCCAACT